CGTTCCTTCTCTTGGTTCCTCTTCCTAGTTTCTCCTCCTGGTTCCTCCTGGTTCCTCTTTTATGACAAAGTGGAGGTTTGAACAGAGGCTCAAGATGTTTGGAGAACTCGGTCCGGGTCGTTAAGGTCCAACAATCAAGAGACGGTTCTGGAAAGGTCTCATTGGGTCCACATCCTCCAGCCTCTCAGGCTGCAGCGAGGATGAAAGATGTTCAGAGGATCCAGTTGGACACCAAATGTGTGAAAGAATCCCTGAACTAATTTTCCAAAACATTCTGGACCAGCTGTCAGAACCACACGGTCCAGGATCTGAGAGCTTACCGGACCTGCAGCAGAACTTTTCCGTGTGAAACGGTGAGGGCTGACCCTGAAGCTTGGAGGCCCTGCAGCGTCTGATGAAGACTGTTAAAAATGTGAAGTATGTTCTGACCTCAGAGCAGCAGAGCCCCGCCCTCAGCCCAATGGTTCTGACCCGCTTCATGTTACAGAACCGGCCGCTGCTTCCAGTCACGGAGGAGGAAACGTGTTCTGGAAACAGTCGATTGTTCTGACGGGAGTTTCTGTGACGTCGCTCGTGACATAATGTGCACGTTATGTCATGAATTGATGTTCTGATGGATCGGTGAAGTTCTGCAGGCAGAGCCCGGGTCCACCCAGGTCCAGCTGGCTGCAGGAACCTTCATCACTGATCAAACATTTATCAGGTTGTGAGCAGAACCTCTGACCCGGATCCAAACGTTGGAGCTGGCAGACGACTTTCAGCTGATTCTAGTCAAATATTAAATTTATGAGCGTCAGAAAACTGTTCATCAAAACATGAAAGTTTACACGTAAAAAGCTGTAAACTTTACAAAAATAAACTTTACAAAAATAAACTTTACAAAAATAAACTTTACAAAAATAAACTTTACAAAACTAACAGATTTAAAATCAACATGTAGCAGTTTAAAGATTGATCGTCGATCAGTTATGTAATTAAATCAGTGATGTAATCAGCTGCTCTGACCCTGAAGGTCCCTGCAGGACCCAGCAGGACCCTGTGGGTCCCTGCAGGACTCACTGAGGGTCCCTGAAGATCACTGAAGGTCCCTGCAGATCTCTGCAAGTCTTTGCAAGTTTCTACAGGTCTCTGAAGTCTTAGCTAGTCTTTACTGGTCCCTGCAGGTCTCTGTAGATCCCTGCTGGTCCCTACATGTCTCTGCATTCCCTGCAGGTCTGAACTCATGAACACACTTTTGGGGAGATCAAGACCTGGGTCTGGACTTTGAGCCCTCAGGGTGGGTCAGGACGGTCTCTGGGGGGTCTCTGGTAGGCCTGAACTTGTATTGTTGAAGGAGTGAGGATCTGGGTCTGGACTCTGACGATCAGGTTCTGCTCAGACCCAGAGGGCACAGTTCTGTTTGTGTGTTGCTGCTGCCGCCCTGGTTACCGTGGAGACGAGAGGTTCTGCTCTGTAAAGACCCAGTACACGATCCGGCTCTGAAGTTTTCCATTCAGTCACTATTTCTGTGAAAGGAGGGCAATCATGTAACCTCTGACTGCCTGTTAGCAAAATATGTGAAAAGCCAGTGGTCAGGTTGTGTCCACCACAGGGGTGGAGCCAGATAATTCTAGTAGTTTTTCCATTACTGGCAAGTTGCTCCGGCTCTCAAAGTGATTCTTGGTCATTTCCTTGTTTACTGACACAGTGGAGAGCTCTTTGAAGATCAAAGAAACTGCCGTCTACAAAGAAAATGAAGTATCTGAGGAGTAAAATATTAAAATAACATCTGAGCGAGGCTGGGTGAGCTGCAAAGCATGCTGGGTAGTAACGTTGCGTTGTTTTCATCAGCTGTTCCGTTCAGTTTGTGTTGAACGTTCGTGTTCTGGCCTTTCTTACGAACTGTAAAATGGACACCATAAGTCCGATACGGTCTGTGGCGTATAAAAAGGGGACCATCACTTCCTGCCGTCCGTCTTCTTCTTCCTGTTTGTCACTAGATTCAGGATAAAAGCTGCCACCACCTGCTCAGGTGCAGTTTTACGTCTGTCTGAATGACTACTGGGATGTAACCGTTGAAGACGTGCTCGGTCGAGGTGGCGATGATGGGTGACCAAAGATTTTTCTATGGTGGCCATGGCCACCCCAGGCCCCCCCCCCCCTGGCTCCGCCCCCGTCCTGGTCTTCAACGTTTGATTAAAGATGGCTGCCACAGCTAACCAGTGCGTTAAAATGTGGTGACGCCGACGCCTGTGAGGGCTGACGGCTCGGCGTTGGTTTGCTGCTGTTTTAGGTGTGAGGCGGCGGGCGATGTGCATTCCTGTAAAAGATGCACATTTTATACTCGAGCAACGACAGAGACTTTGTGTGGACGGTCTCTGCAACACGGTGGTTCTGGTCCCAGAAGATTTGTAGGAACTCGTTTTACTCGTTCAGGAAACGGTTTCTGTGGTCCTCTGAACCACAGGGCCACAAAAACCTGTCCATGGTCCCTGCAGGGGCCACAACACCCCTAACACTGGCAGAAATAAAATTAGATTTATCAAACATTGCTGACAAGTTTCTGTATTTATTATTTATGAGATTATTCTGGATTAACATCTCAGTTACAACCTGAGATGGGAGACTGCAACGAAGACAAGGTTCAACTCGTCTGCTGGATTCCTTAGAGAACTTTACTAATTATGTGAATGTTCCTGTAAAGTTCCTGGGACAACTTTGTTGTGATTTGGTGCTTTATAAATAAACTGAATTGAATTGAGATTATTTTTCCAACAAAGAAACGGAGATCATCTGTCAGAACTGAAAGAACTTGTTGCCTCCTGATGTTCTTCAAAAACGAACAGGATGGATTTGTTTTCATGTAAACACTGGACCGTGGAGCAGACCTCTAGGGTCATGAGAGAACTGGATCCAGGTTCTGAACCTGCGGTCAGAACCTTCAGACCAGAGCTGCAGACTCTGGAAGTCACGGCTGAACTTGTTGAAACGTCTCTCGGACTGACGGACGCTTCACTTCCTGTCCTGTCAAAGTCCAGCTCCAGCTGAGAACGTTCAGACACTTGAAGACATCTCGCTGACGACGATCGGTTTGTTTCGAATGGAACCAAAACAACTTTTCTCTCGGAGACACGGAGCTGCCCTCAGAGGCGTTTCCACGTCACTGCTGTGAGTCATGTGAGGAACATGAGCCAGAACAAACCAGATCACACTCAACAAACCAAGGCGTCCCCTCCCAGCTCCGACTGGACCAGGGACCAGGACCGACGTCCCCTCCCAGCTCCGACTGGACCAAGAACCAGGACCGACGTCCTCTCCCAGCTCCGACTGGACCAGGAACCAGGACCGACGTCCCCTCCCAGCTCCGACTGGACCAGGAACCAGGACCGACGTCCCCTCCCAGCTCCGACTGGACCAGGGACCAGGACCGACGTCCTCTCCCAGCTCCGACTGGACCAGGGACCAGGACCGACGTCCCCTCCCAGCTCCGACTGGACCAGGAACCAGGACCTCCAAACACCCTGACCTGAACTCTTCTCAGATTAAATGAAGTTCAGCGTGCAGGTGTCAGGACCGTGTGTGTGAGACTCAAACATTCAAACGGTCCACCTCAGATCAGAACCGCTCTGCTACATTTTGTTTATCCTGAAGAATCCTGTTGAAAGTTTGACACAGATGAAACTGACACGATCAAAACAATCTGCTGCTCTGGAGCATCCAGGTGTGTTTACACAACGCCGAGATGGAAAGACATCAGCAATGACCTCAGAGAAGCTGCTGCCCGTCAATCTGGAAAGGGTCAAAGGTCATTCAGTGTCCATGTTCCACAGAGATTCTTCACACGTGGAAAACAGCTGATTCACCCTGAAGGTCAGACCATACAGGCCTCAGTCAGCAGGTCAAAGGTCATGACCAAAACAACAGGGCAGCTTGACTCAGGTTTGGACAGTTTCACTGGAGGAACCACAAGACTTCTGGACCAGAACCAGAGCAGAGGACAGATGCTTACCCAGAATGCACTGCAGCAGACAGCTCCTCCCAGCTGTCAGCACGGTGGTGAAGGTTGATGGTTCGGACTCCTGTCAGTCCGAGTGGTCCAGAACTCCTCTGAAGTCCAAACGTGAGTCCAACTGTCCAACAAACTGGGTCCAACAGGACCATGATCCTAAACACAGCAGTAGGGGTCAGAAAGACCAGAACCACGGTGCTGCAGCGGGGCAGGTCATTGCTGATGTCTTTCGGACTTGGTGTTGTTCTAATTAATGAAGAACCTGTTGATCCTGGGGGGGGACCTGTTGGGTTTCTGTTCACCAGAATGTGAATCATTTCAGAACCAGATCAGTTCCTATAGGTCCAGATAAGTGAAACCCTGGGATTAAAGGTGGGGTGTGTGTGTGTGTGTGGGTGTGTGGGGGGGGGGGGGGGGGGGGGGGGGGCGCTTTAAATCAGAATAAAAAAATAAAACTGTGAATTATTTTCAACACGTTTTAATAAATAGAGCAGGAGGTCCGAGAACCATTTCACTAAAAACATCTGAGTTTTTAATTTACTCTGTGGAGACACGAGGCACTGTGTGCATGTGTGTGTGCATGTGTGTGTGCGTGTGTGTGCATGTGTGTGTGCATGTGTGTGTGTGTGTGTGCATGTGTGTGTGTGCGTGTGTGTGTGCATGTGTGTGTGTGTGTGTGTGCATGTGTGTGTGCATGTGTGTGTGCATGTGTGTGTGCATGTGTGTGTGTGCATGTGTGTGTGTGTGCATGTGTGTGTGACGTGTGTTAATAAAATTGTAGTAAACTTGACCCACAACCAGGAAGTCTCGACCCGAGTCCAGAGTAGCTGCAGTCAGAACCAGAACCAGAACCAGCTCAGAGCAGCAGGTCCGTTCACATCACGCTGCTTTAATCTGACGTGTTCTTTTCAAAATAAAAGCAGACTATGTAGCTCCGCTCTTCTGGATTCACGTCAGTAATGAAGATGATCAGGAACCAGAGTCTTCCTCAGGAAACATGAAGCGTTCAGAGAACTGAGGCAGGACAGAGCTGAAGTTGGCTGCTGGAACCCTTCATCTGCCCTCCAGAACCTCCAGAACCAGCTGGTTTGACCAGAGGACACTGGAGGCAGGAACTTCACTTTGTCTCCATGTTTGTGAAAAACTCAGTGGAGATGTTGGAAGAAGAAGCTCTGAGTGTTTCTGCTGGAGCAGAGAGGAGCAGAGTTCTGCTGCGGTTCTGGACCTCGGTTCTTTCAGAGCGAGTCAAACGCAGGATCCGTCTGTCCTGGATCAGAACATCTGAGCTGGCTGCTGTCAGAACCTTCGCTGCAGGAAGGGACAAAGGAGGAAGACGACATGATGAGGAAGGAGGCGGGTCCCGTCTGACCCAGAGGAGGTTCTGGAGGACTGCTCCGAGGACATGGACACTTGTCCAGTGTCCTCAGAAGAGGGTGATCAGCATGTTGGAGTCATGCGATCCGTCCCCGTGGTTCTGCTCCTCCGTCACTTTGAGGAGCGCAGCTCCTCCTGCAGCGAGAGGCGGGAGCGTGCCGGGGGGAGGGGCATCCCGACGGCCCGCACGCCGCTCAGCCGCCACGGCAGGAGGTCCAGGAAGTTGTCCTGGAGGTGGTGAGGGTCCAGGGTCAGGCTGAGCACACGCTGAGGGTTCTGGGAGCTGTAGTTCCTCATCGATGGGGTAGGAGGAGGGGGGGTCACTGCGCTCCTGCAGACAAAAAGAGAAGGGGTGAGAGGAGGAGGAGGAGGACTGATGAAGAAGAGATGGATGAAAATAATTAAGATTTAAAGTTTGATCATCAGCAAACGTCACCGAGCTGAGCGGCCCAACAGGCCCGGTTCTTCTGACCCAGAAATTATTCTTCCAGCTCAGAGAAAAAACGCTTCCACTCATAAAAGTCAAATAAGTTCTGCCGGAGGACGAGGTTCTGCCGGAGGACGAGGTTCTGCTGGAGGACGAGGTTCTGCCGGAGGACGAGGTTCTGCCGGAGGACGAGGTTCTGCCGGAGGACGAGGTTCTGCCGGAGGACGAGGTTCTGCTTCTTACAGAACTTGAATAATTTAGCCCAACAACAGATGTAATTTGACATCTTCTAATAGAACCTTGTCTCTGTTCTGGGTTTCTGTCAGTTGGAGCTTCGAGTGGTCAGAAGCAAAAAGCATCTGCTCCGTGTGGACGCTCTGCTTTTTATTTACATGAGAACTGGTCCAGCTCACTGGTTTGTAGTGAACTGATGTGGTTTCTTGAAATGCAACTGGAAGCACAAATGTTTCTCTTTTCATTCTTGTCGTCTCGACTTGGAAAAGATTCAGACTTTTTGAGGACTGTGCAGGAACCTTGTAGAACCTGCTGGTCTCATGTGGTCCAGGAACTTTTTAGATCCTCCAGGATCCACAGGAAACTCCTCAGAAGAGACGAGAACAGCGGGAGGACCCGGGTCCTCCATCCAGAGGTGCGTTAGACAAACAGATGTTCCCGTCAGAACGAGGTCCTGATCATTTAACGGTCAAACGTCTCGATGAGGTTTGCTGAAGATCAAGAAGTTACTGAAGTCTGAGAGCCCGTGTGGACAGGTCCAGTTTCATCCTGCTGGAGGAGGACCAAGAGACGAAGCAGCTTCTTCTTAAAGCTGAGATGTAAAAAACACGAGGCTCCGAGACGTTCAGGCTCTCCGTCTCCTTCAATCAAGAGCCACAACAGACGACAGGAAGTGGAGACGAGACTCTCGTCGTGTGCACGGAGCTTCACGTGCGTGTGGTGAGCACTAATGTACTTTAGGAGTGAGATGTTCTCTTCTAGACTATCACTTCAGGATTGATTCTCATAAATGTTCATGATTTATCATAAAATAAAGGAAGTTTATTTTGAAGAGTTTCCACTACAACTAACTTCCTGTTTATTAATTTCTGAAAGTAAACATCCTGTTTACTGTTGAATTCAGTGACTTGTTTTTAAATCTGCAGCTGAGTTTCTGGCAGAAAAAGAACCTTTAGGTCCAGAAACGACTGAACTGCTCGACTCTTGTGAACTAGATGTTTTTTAAATCATGTGACGGAATGAAGCTGCTGAAGGACCGCTCACACCAGCACCAAACGCTCGTGCACGTTAACGTACGGAGGAGGGACGCTGCGGGCGCCGGGGAGCAGGACAGGAAGCTGGAGGCGGGGCTCAGTTGGGGAAGGTAATCGTGTCACTGTCACACTTCACTCTCTGGAACACACACACACACACACACACACACAGGAAGACAACGTGAGAGGGATTAATGGAAAGGAACGGATCAGGATGGGCTCGGTTCTGTGAAGTCCAGCTGCAGGTCAGGAAGTCTGTAAATGTTATTAAAACAAAGAAACAGGAAGTACAAGGATGATTGACATGTCCTGAGGAGGCCCAGGGATGATGGATGGAAGATGGATGGATGGGTAATGGATGATGGATGGATGGATGATGGATGGATGGATGGATGGATGATGGATGGGTGATGGATGGGTGATGGATGGATGGATGATGGATGATGGATGAATAGTGGGACAGACAGAAGAAATGATGTTTTGGATGGATTGGGTCAAAGGGGAACCGCCTGAGATCACAGGTTCTGTCCTCCTGGATCAGACGACCTTCAGTCGCCATGAGGAGACAATAAACAACCAGAACCAGAACTTTCCTTCCTGTTCAGGTTTTACAGCTCCAGCTGGGCTTAAATGATCTCACAGCTGAACTGGTTCTGATCCGTTTTACAGCGATCAGTTGAAACTAAAACCCAGAAATCAAACAGAGCTGGGAGGAGGGATGTTCTGTAAGGAGAAGCAGCAGTGGATGGATGGGATGGATGGATGGATGGATGGATGGATGGGATGGATGGCTGGGGGGGGGTGTCACATACGTGCTGCAGAACGGAGGATACCTCTGAACACATGGGCTGGACAGCCGGCGGGCCTGTCGGATCTACAAAACAAGTTTACAGCTCAGTTACATCATCCAAGCCCCCCGACCTCAGGTGGACCCTGATCACCCCCCGACCTCTGAAGGGCCCGAGGAACAAGAGCAACATGTTTCTGGTGTTCAACACATCGCTCTGATCTGCCGGGGACAAATGCAGGTTGATTTTCACATTTAGAGACATGTTGGACATTCAGAGACATGTTGGACATTTAGAGACATGTTGGACATTTAGAGACATGTTGGACATTCAGAGACATGTTGGACATTTAGAGACATGTTGGGCATTTAGAGACATGTTGGGCATTTAGAGACATGTTGGACATTCAGAGACATGTTGGATATTCAGAGACATGTTGGACATTCAGAGACATGTTGGACATTTAGAGACATG